CTCACACCCACACGCTCCACCCCACACTCTCTCAACCCCACACTCTCTCACCCCCCTCACCCCCACACTCTCTCACCCCCACTCTCTCACCCCGCACTCTCTCACCCCCACACTTTCTCACCCCACACTCCCCCCCACACTCTCACCCCACACTCTCTCACCCCCACACTCTCTCACTCCACACTCTCTCACTCCCACACACTCTCACCCCCACACTCTCTCACCCCCACACTCTCTCACTCCCACACACTCTCACCCCACACTCTCTCACCCCCACACTCTCTCACCCCCACACTCTCTCACCCCCACACTCTCTCACCCCCACACTCTCTCACCCCACCTCTCACCCCACCCTCTCTCACCCCCACACTCTCTCACCCCCACACTCTCTCACTCCCACACTCTCTCACTCCCACACACTCTCACCCCCACACTCTCTCACCCCCAACACTCTCTCACCCCCACACTCTCTCACCCCACACTCTCTCACCCCACACTCTCTCAGCCCCCAAACTCTCTCACCCCCTCACTCTCTCACCCCCACACTCTCTCACCCCCACACTCTCTCACTCCCACACTCTCTCACCCCCACACTCTCTCACCCCACACTCTCTCACCCCCACACTCTCTCACCCCCACACTCTCTCACTCCCACACTCTCTCCCACACTCTCTTACCCCACACTCTCTCACCCGCACACTCTCTCACCCCCACACTCTCTCACCCCACACTCTCTCACTCCCACACTCTCTCACCCCCACACTCTCTCACCCCCACACTCTCTCACTCCCACACTCTCTCACTCCCACGCTCTCTCACCCCCACACTCACCCCCACACTCTCTCACTCCCACACTCTCTCACTCCCACACTCCCTCACTCCCACACTCTCTCACTCCCACACTCTCTCACTCCCACACTCACTCCCACATTCTCTCACGCCCACACTCCCACACTCTCTCACTCCCACACTCACTCTCACACTCCCACACTCTCTCACTCCCACACTCACTCCCACACTCCCAACACTCTCTCACTCCCACACTCACTCCCACCTCTCACTCCCACACTCTCACTCCCACACTCCCACACTCACTCCTACACTCTCTCACTGCCACACTCCCACACTCACTCCCACACTCTCTCACTCCCACGTACTCCCACACTTTCTCAATCAAACACTCCCTCCCACACACACTTTCACTCCCACCCACACACACTCCACACACACTCCCACACTCCCTCCCACATTCCCTCCCACACTACCCCCCCCCCCACAGTCATACTCTACAAGTCGTCACAAATAAAGGTTCGAGAAGTTTAAAACTCAATTTAAGTTAGATACTTTGCTTTGAGTAACTTTCTAAGACATTAGCACTTAACCAAGTTAACCTAACACTCTTAACCAGCGGCGAGAGTGAGTGCGTGTGTGTGTGTGTGTGTGTGTACTCACCTATTTGTACTCACCTATTTGTGGTTGCAGGGGTCGAGTCCTAGCTCCTGGCCCCGCCTCTTCACCGGTTGCTACTATGCCCTCTCTCTCCCCGCTCCATGAGCTTTATCAAACCTCGTCTTAAAACTGTGTATGGTTCCTGCCTCCACTACGTCATTTTCTAGGCTATTCCACTGCCTTACAACTCTATGACTGAAGAAATACTTCCTACTATCTCTCTGACTCATTTGTGTCTTCAACTTCCAATTGTGGCCTCTTGTTTCTGTGTCCCCTCCCTGGAACATCCTGTCCTTGTCCACCTTGTCTATTCCACGCAGTATTTTATATGTCGTTATCATGTCTCCCCTGACCCTCCTGTCCTCCAGTGTCGTCAGGCCGATTTCCCTTAATCTTTCTTCATAGGACATTCCCCTTAGCTCTGGAACTAACCTTGTTGCAAACCTTTGTACTTTCTCTAGTTTCTTGACGTGCTTTATCAAGTGCGGGTTCCAAACAGGTGCTGCATACTCCAGTATGGGCCTGACATACACGGTGTACAGTGTCTTGAATGATTCCTTACTAAGGTATCGGAATGCTGTTCTCAGGTTTGCCAGGCGCCCATATGCTGCAGCAGTTATCTGATTGATGTGTGCTTCCGGAGTGTGAGTGCGTGTGTGTGTGTGTGTGTGTGAGTGCGTGTGTGTGTGAATGCGTGTGTGTGTGAGTGCGTGTGTGTGCGAGTGCGTGTGTATTCACCTAGTTGAGGTTGCGGGGGTCGAGTCCGAGCTCCTGGCCCCCGCCTCTTCACTGATCGCTACTAGGTCACTCTCCCTGAGCCGTGAGCTTTATCATACCTCTGCTTAAAGCTATGTATGGATCCTGCCTCCACTACATCGCTTCCCAAACTATTCCACTTACTGACTACTCTGTGACTGAAGAAATACTTCCTAACATCCCTGTGATTCATCTGTGTCTTCAGCTTCCAACTGTGTCCCCTTGTTACTGTGTCAAATCTCTGGAACATCCTGTCTTTGTCCACCTTGTCAATTCCTCTCAGTATTTTGAATGTCGTTATCATGTCCCCCCTATCTCTCCTGTCCTCCAGTGTCGTCAGGTTGATTTCCCTTAACCTCTCCTTGTAGGACATACCTCTTAGCTCTGGGACTAGTCTTGTTGCAAACCTTTGCACTTTCTCTAGTTTCTTCACGTGCTTGGCTAGGTGTGGGTTCCAAACTGGTGCCGCATACTCCAATATGGGCCTAACGTACACGGTTTACAGGGTCCTGAATGATTCCTTATTAAGATGTCGGAATGCTGTTCTGAGGTTTGCTAGGCGCCCATATGCTGCAGCAGTTATTTGGTTGATGTGCGCTTCAGGAGATGTGCCTGGTGTTATACTCACCCAAGATCTTTTTCCTTGAGTGAGGTTTGTAGTCTCTGACCCCCTAGACTGTACTCCGTCTGCGGCCTTCTTTGCCCTTCCCCAATCTTCATGACTTTGCACTTGGTGGGATTGAACTCCAGGAGCCAATTGCTGGACCAGGTCTGCAGCCTGTCCAGATCCCTTTGTAGTTCTGCCTGGTCTTCGATCGAGTGAATTCTTCTCATCAACTTCACGTCATCTGCAAACAGGGACACCTCAGAGTCTATTCCTTCCGTCATGTCGTTCACAAATACCAGAAACAGCACTGATCCTAGGACTGACCCCTGTGGGACCCCGCTGGTCACAGGTGCCCACTCTGACACCTCGCCACGTGTGTATGAGTACGTGTGTGTGTGTGTGTGAGTGCGTGTGTGCGAGTGTAAGCGTTCTTCCATTTATTGATACAAGGGTCGGATCTCAGCTCTTGGGCCCCGCCTCTCCGCTGTCTGCTACTGGGTTCACTTTCTCCTAACTGCATTGGCTCTGTCGTGCCTATTCTTATAACAACGTATAGATCCTTTACCACTGCTTTGTCTAGACGGTTCCACTTTTAGACATCTTTTGTGAGATCTTTTGTAGTTAACTTACATCTGTGCCCACGTGTACCGGTTTTCCGCCTCTCCAACGCTCTCTCTGTCCACCTTATCAATTACTCATGGGTATTTTGTACTTCGTTATCATGTCACCCCCGAGTCCCGTCCTGTTATCAGGTTTAGTTTCTGTCTTCACAGCTGCTGATCTCCGGGACTAATCTTGTTGCAAACCTCTGTACTTTTCCCAATTTCACGAGTGTGGGTTTCATACTGGTGCTGCATACTCAAACATCAGTGGCTGTTGGCTGTTAGCAGACGAAGGCTCGAGCCTCCGCCAATCCTTCGTTCTAAGTGGCCCACACGGGTTTACCGCTTCGCATCGCTTAATAATAATTAATAATAATGTATCTCTTATCAGAGTAAGATTTAGCAGATTCCTTCAGTTTGTTCGATGCACTATTAATTTCATAATTATGGCCCATAAGGGTTTAGCTCTTGCCCAATAATAAACATTAACACCACCACATTTAACACAACATTAACACCAAAATCACTCCCTATGAAAGCAAAATATCTGGCAGGAGATGCAACATGCCCCCAATGAAAAGCACCGGTGCAACGAGCACACTGAGAGACAACACAGTAAGTGTCAGGGGCCCAAGACTGTTCAACTGTCCCCCAGCATACATAAAGTGGGATTACCAATAGACCCCTGGCTGTCTTCAAGAGGGAGCTTGACCGGCACCTGAAGTACCTGATCAGCCAGGCTGTGGGTCGTACATAGGTTTACGTTCAGCCAGCAGTAACAGCCTGATTGATCAAGCCCTGATCCACCATGAGGCCTGGTCACAGATCGGGCCGCGGGGGCGTTGACCCCCTAAATCCTCTCATGTAGAGTACTAGTGATACAATAGTAGTGGAGTTGAGCGCCTCTGGTGGTGAGAGTGGTCCCCTTGAGAGAGGTTCCTTGAAGGTGGTGGTGAGGGTCTCTTGATCCAAGGAATGTGACCTATGCCACCCGGGAGTGAACTTATCCTCCTAGGTGGTTCATGACCCCCACGGGTTGAGCGCTCCACCATGTTGATAAATTAGACACATGTGCAACTCTTGGGTATCTTTATTAAGGAAACGTTTCGCCACACAGTGGCTTCATCAGTCCATACACAGGAGAAGCTTCAAGAACAGGAGGAGAATGAGGTAATCAGTCCCTCAACCTTGAGTCGATGTGTTCAGTCCCTCAACCTTGAGTCGATGTGTTCAGTCCATCAATCTTGAGTCGATGTGTTCAGTCCCTCAACCTTGAGTCGATGTGTTCAGTCCCTCAACCTTGAGTCGATGTGTTCAGTCCCTCAACCTTGAGTCGATGTGTTCAGTCCATCAATCTTGAGTAGAATACAGCATATGAGCGGAGAAGGAGCTTATAAACCGTATGGCAGGAGAGGTGCAGCAGTCATAGGTGGTGTGTACCATTCATCTACAATGAATAGTGCCGATAGTGAGGGGTAGTAGTGCCATCTAGTGGTGGTAGTCAGAGTTAGTCAGGTTATCAATGGTGGTGTTATAGTTACGGTCAGGACAGTGACCAACCTCAGGGTCACTAAAAGTCAGTTGAACTTCAGTCGTCGTACGGAAGGGATATGTTGCTCCTTCTCCTGCCGCCCCACCGGCTTTATCGCTTCCTCATCCTTTTAATACACCTAAATAACGTAAGTATTATCTGGTAACGTATTTGTTAGTACAACAGCAGAATTGAGCTGCAGCTCTTGGTCCCCACCACCAGTTTGGTCACCAATTTAATATTTTGTCTTAATTTTCTTTGGGGTAATATTAGTTTATATTACATGGTAATGTTTACTTATAAATGTGTAATGTTAATGGTTATAATGTGAATGTTTTGTTTCAGGTGGTAACTGAGGATTGCTGTGCCTGGCTGTGTCTGCTGTAACGTTGTTGTGTCTGCTGCAACGTTGGTCAACACAGCAACACTGACCAGTCTGAGGAGTGGAGACAACCACACTAGTAAATGGTCTGACCCATAATATTTAGTGTTATGTGGAAATGTAGCAGTTGGAGACGTCGTTAGAGATGGGCGGGGCCCACTTGTAAGGTATTTCCAGGTTACAAGTCCACTAAAGTTTGATTATTGGGAAGAGTATAGGAAAGATTGTAAGCAGCTGATGTCAAAAGTAGCTTAGAGGGAAGTATTAGCTTATCTCCCAACCAGAGATGAAATCTCTGGCCAGGAAATAATGAATGTATTCTATTAGTTACCTTAAATGGGGTGGAAATAATTGGAGAAATGGGTTGTAAAGCTTAGAACTGAAGACTGATTAGATTTTAGTAAGTTTAGTTAGTGTAATACCTTGATTATGCAGTCTATACCCATCTTACAAGATTGTAGGAAGCAGATATAAGTGATATGCCGTGGCTCAGTTGGTAGTGGCGTCAACTGAAGAACCGGGATTAGATCCCTGGCACAAGTGGACATATACCCTTAAATCCATTGGCACTGTTCACATAAAGGAACACTGCAGCAGACCTACTGGTCCTGAGCAGGCCTACGGGTAGGGGTCGCATCCTGAAAATGTCATAATATTATCTTGACTTACGTAATTCTGTGCTAATCTACCGGATTAATAATTATACTGAGATAATTTAGTGTGGTGAGGGTAATGATAGAGGTCTTGATGCCGGGTGTAAGGAAAGCCTATTAAATCAGGCATAACCATTATTAAGACAAGAAAGGAGCACTAAAGCAGGCCTATTGGCCCATGTTAGGCAAGTCCAACTCTCAACCACTCATTGGTCTAACCTATTTTTAAAACTACAGAGCCAAAGTTTTAGCTCCACATGACGGGATAAATTTTCCTTAGCCAGGATGTATTATAGCCGGAAAAATCAATAACAGTTACTCAGAAATGTGGAATTAACCACATCTTCCTATTTTCAGTAGGGTTGTATCGGGCCTGGCCAAGTAATTTTATGCTCTGAAGCCCCAAAAATATTTTCGGTATTATAGTCGTGTGGGTTTAGCGCTTACGCCTCCAGAGTCTATTAGAGCGTCTTGGGGGGGGGGAGCATTTTTGAAATTGGGCTATACAGTATATATTTAGAGACTTTGTAGACCCCCTTGATCATACCTTCCCCCTCCCTTCATCCTTCCTTGCGCCGCCACTGTTCTGAAAATTAGTAAGGTCTATACCTAGAGTATGCTGCATAGTTGTGGTGTATATATATAACACTTTGTAGACCTACAATCAAAATAAATTATACAATTAGGTGGTGTTAGGATAGGTAAGGTATAGAACTGGAGAATCTGCTATATGCATTATGAATGCATATAGCAGGGGAGAGTAATCTCCCCCGAAGGCATAGATTACGTAGAACTGTGGGCCTTGGAACCCACCAACGACCCTCAGAAGCTGTGGGGAATCTGTTATTGCTCGTGGTTTCCGTGGGGTTGTTGGTGGGTTTCGGGCTTTGGGTAGTGGTTGTGGTGGGTGTTCTACGTTTTTTATGCCTTTGGCCAAACTGTGCAAAGTTAAATATTGATTCATTGAGTTGACAGTTTCATCGTTTTGGAACATTTAAGCGGCGTTCAGGTTCCTATGAATATAAAAGTATTAGCGTTCAGAATTGCAGTTGGGTTGATGGTTTGTATGTAGTGAAGTGTAACGCTTCTGGCAGCAGACGTTAATAGTGAAAATAATGAAAACCTCTGATCTAAAGTGTTGGCAGAATGGCTTCACTAACATCTGATGCTGATGAGTATAGTTAGGGGGGTGATTTAGATTGGTATTAGTGAGAATATGATTATTAACCCTACTGGGTTAGAAAAACAGAGGGAGAGTGTGGGGCTTGAATGTAGTGGACCTCAGGTTGTACCAGCCGTAAGTAGGCAGGTAAGGTAGGTTATGAATTCAGGCTAGCATAGTACTGTTAGGAGACTGGGTTATTTAACCAGTTAGAGCTCTGCCGTATACCATAGTGTTGGTTGTTAGCCTAGTGTGCCATGAGGGACTCGGAAGTGTAGGGAAAATAGTGTTGTTTTAAGGTAGTTAGGATCATTAATGTTAAATTTGGATGACCTTCAAGGGGTGTCTATTAGTGAAGGTATCTTGATACAACACCTAGGGATTATCTAGTTATGGGAAATTTACCCAAATAAAATGTACACGTCTGTAAAATTGTTTGAATAGAGTGGGAGGGAGCGGTAAACTCTCGGGGGACAGGTCGATGAAAGTCAATCAAACCTGATTGAGTAGTGCAAGTCGACTATTTTTTAATAGTCGAGATTTACTCCTTGTTTAATTTACCGCAGAATCCTCCTGACAAGACAGGCTGTTGTGATCACCAGTGTTTAACACACAAGGAGACAAGAATGTTGTGCATCAGGAAGTGTTTGCAGTGTTGTACTTGATTGTCCTGTGTCACAACACTTAGGATAGCTTCCTGACAGTACAAATACAAGGTCATTAATTTTGAAATTTCATCATACCTCAAAGTACTAATACCAGCAGTATAGAGGCTATCAGCCTCATTACTACTGTTACTAGTAGTGTTGGGGTAGGTATTTTTTTTTTTCCCCCCCGAGCTTAAAGCTCCCGAATTGTGTGAATGTTGTCCTGCTGACAAGCAGCAGTTGAGGCTTCTCTAAGTCATTTCATTTTTCTATTTCTTGTTCCTTGAACATTTCTTCGCTGTGATAAAGAAATAAAGAAATTGTCTATTACATTTTAAAGTTTATCGAATCTTGTAGGTTGGAGATATTCGCCGTGTGGTGGGCAGCTGCTGTGTGGTGACGGCCGTGTGGTGGGCAGCTGCTGTGTGGTGACGGCCGTGTGGTGGGCAGCTGCTGTGTGGTGACGGCCGTGTGGTGGGCAGCTGCAGGTCTTCAGAGATATCACCAGCAGCAACACTCCAAAACAATGTCTGCAAAGATAAAAGTATGGACATTACTAGATTATTCAAGAATTGCATTAAGCAAGTTTGAATTCTTACTATGTATTTAGAGTGCTTACTTCAATATTTTGTAGAAAGAAAAATTGCTATTTTCAAAGCTGATCTATCTAAAAATACCATGAAATTGGAGTAATCCAAGTTTCTTAAATTACCACAGGTTGATGGAACTGGAAGAGCTGGAGGTGTTGATGGTGTGGTGGAGGGTAGAGGAGTGACTAGTGGCGCCACTATTCTTGACCTCCATGACTAATTGGCGCCATTGACCTGGAAAGGAGGGTGATGACGTCATTGGTTGTTGTGTGGAGGGGGAAGGTCGTTAAGGGAAGGATAGGGGTTGCCTGCTGGTGGAGAGATTTGGGGGTGAGTAGTTGTTACTGGTGGGAGGATGATGGGTAGGGGGGATGGTTGTCACTTGGGCCTAACAGTCTTGTTACTGTGTGCTTACGTGGCTTGAACCTTGATATTTGAAGCGCCCTGGACACTAGCCCAAAGACACTCATTGGCCACATACTCGTAATTCTAATGAACAATGTCCACGGACTCGTGTTGAAAACCGTCTCCTTGATGGGCTTACGTATTTGACATCTTGTGGGTTTAGTGCTTAGTTTTGATCAGTGCCGGATTCAGACCTTGGGGGGACCCTGGGGCACTTGAGGTTTGGGGGGGCCCTCAACCTGGAAATTTAATTGAATTACAAATAAGAAATTAACTAAAATGAATGATAAACAGCAGTTTTCGAAAAAAAAATCGATTTCGAAGAAGACAGTTGATTTTATTTTTCTCAATTTTATTGACTTTAACTATAATTTTCACTTTTGTAATATATTCCATCTATACGATATAATAATTACCGACGTGTATTTATTTATATCTTTGGTGTCACACTTTCAGTATGTATATGGTGGTAGTTGACCAAAAGGACACATGATTTTCACTGACAGGACACCACATGTCTGGGTCTGAATCACATGGTGTGGCCTCAACTGTCCATGTCTACAGAAATATCTGTAGAATGTGGTTTTGGTGATTCATCACCTTTACTGTCTTGGTTTGCTAAGTTCTTTTTATTTTCTGCAGATGTACTTGGGAATGCGGGTGGGGTCCTCAGAAGGAACATCTGGTAGTGGAACTGGTTCATTAGTAGCTTCTATGTATTCCACTATGGAAGCAGATAAAAACTCTATAAGGGGGTTTTCTGTCAAGACTGCAGCATTTCTTTTCCTTGATTTTTTTTTTTGGAAATCTTTCATTTCTGAGCTCCTGACAACTGAATTTTCCGTGGCATACTGGGTCTTCTGAAAAAAAAAATATTCAGATTTTTTGACATTTAATAACAATGTAGTTAATGATATATATAATGTCATGGACAGTGAAGCCTCACCATGTGATTCAGACCCAGACATGTGGTGTCCTGTTGGTCAACTGCCACCATATACATAGATACTGAAAGTGTGACACCAAAGATATAAATAAATACACATTGGTAATTATTATATCGTGTAGATGGAATATAATACAAACTGAAAATTATAGTCAGTTATTCTTAGTCAAAATTTAAAAAAAAAATAAAAATTATACATCTTCGAAACCTTTTTTTTTTTTCTTTTGAAAATGCTGTTTATCGTTCATTTTAATTAATTTCTTATTTGTAATTCAATTTAATTTTCATGTTGAGGGCCCCCCAAACCTCAAGTGCCCCGGGGCCCCCCAAGGTCTAAATCAGGCCCTGACTCGCAGGCGTTCAATTTATTCTCGTACTCTCATCTCTATGTACTCTTGTACAGTCATACACTCCCATGTACTGCCATGCAGGAAGCAGCTCCTCCCAGCACCTCTGAACACATCTTGCAACACAAAATCTTGCAGCAGTATTTTTGCCAGCTGTCTCGACCTCTGCAGTCCCACAAAAGAAAGTGAAAGGTTATTGAGATTTATGTAGTCATGTCAAGAAATATTTTTCCAGGGAGGGACACGCAATTTTTGAATCAGATTTTGCGTGTCTAAGACACATTATTTGCATCGCGACTTTTCATCACTTTTAAATAGAAATAAAAAATATTTGAGCTCCCTTTATTTTTTCTTCGTAATTTGATAAAATGAACAGTGATTCGTTTTATAAATGTGAAAATTAATGGTAATAATCATAACCATAAATTTTAAAGGGGTGGAGGGGTAAGCCAGTGGAAGGCTTCGGGCAGATGACCAAAAACTCCAGCAGCTATGGGTCATCTCTTGTGGCTTAGCGCTTCTTTTTGATTATAATAATAATAATATGGGTCATCTGACTAAGACCCACGTCAGGAAACACTTTCCTGTTTCCTGACAACCCTTACCTAACCTACCTCTTCAAGGGGGGCTCCTTGTTGTGGTGAAGAGGCTCTTGGTCTGAGGAATTAGACCTGTCGGTCTCCTTCCTCAGACCGAACCTAATTACCCCCCAATCCCCCCTTCCCTATCCCATCCTCCCCTTTTTTCCTTTCCTCCTCCTCCCCCCCCACCCCTCCCTTTTGCCCTTCCTCTTTTTGGCCTTTGGGATTTCTCCCACAGGCATGCTAGTTCCTAGGTAGGGGAAAGGATACCGGGGTCCATCCCATTCCGTTGAGGTTCTTGGCGGTGGCGTAGTTTGCCGTGGAATCTGGATCGCCTGGGGATGTCCCAATCCCTCTCCGGTATCCCGGAGTGTAGCTTTGGGTTTCTTTCGGGCGATGGGTGTATCTCTGGAAGCCTCCTTTCGGATTTCCGGGGGTGGTGGCCGAAGGAGGTATGCTTTGTGGCGGATATCCGGCCGCCCTCTCTTTTGTCCACCGAGGTAGCTCGGCAGATGTGAGGTTACTATCCCGGATTGCTGGTTTACTGGCATGAAGGGTAGGGTATGGCATGGGTTTCATGCTGCATCTGCGCTACTAGCGGTGCTGAGGTCCTCTTGGGTGTGGAGGGAGATTTCCAGCCCTTTCATTCCTCCTGGGAACTATTCCTCCCCGCTCCCCCCTTTTTTTATTCTTTTTTTATTTTTATTTTCTTTTCTTTCTTTTTTTTTCTTAAAAACAAAAAGCAAAGGAGTAACCTAACCATGGAGAACCCAATCCACGAACCCACTACCCCCGGGCCCCTTCTTGATACCGCACCCCACTCTGACCCTGCCTTGTTTTTAGACCACTCTTCGAACACTCCTGATGCCCCTGTACCTCTTGCTGGTGCTGTTTCCTCACCCGCTTCAGGTACCGGGGCTACAACTGACTCCTTTGATTTGTCTGACCTCCGCTCTCCTTTGACTATGCTTCCAGCCTCTCCCTCTACGGTACGGCAATTTTCGAATCGCCAGCCCGTTTCACGACGGACCAACTCCGGTCCTACTCCTAAACGCCAACGTCAATCTCCTGATGATGTTCCATCGTTACCTTCCCATTCTACTCGGAAATGACCGACACGTCATGCACTCCCTCTCCACGCTCGGTTTCGGACCACACAATGGACTAAATTCTTTACTTTAATACTGACTTCTAATTCTGCCTATCTTTCTGACCATAGTATTGGCAAAGCGCTCCTGCGTCATGTTGGTAGAGATATTTCATTTCATGCTCTCAAGAGCGGTACGCACATTGTCACTGTCCAGAATGCTACCCAAGCTCATGATCTTTCTCTCCTTTCACATATCGATACTATTACTATCACTATTGAAAAACATCTTTCTCTCAATTCTTGTAGTGGTACTGTCATTCTGCCCCATACCATAGTCCAACAGAATTTCCAGTCATGTGGCAATGACATAATTGAACAGCTCGAACTCCAGGATCTCCCAATCCTCAAAGTAGACACTTATGTCCTTCCTGCCAACGGGCGGAGACGTTACCCTTGCAATGTGGCTCGATTAACTTTCGACAGCCGTGAACTCCCGTGGCCCGGTGGCCTGGTGGCTAAAGCTCCCGCTTCACACACGGAGGGCCCGGGTTCGATTCCCGGCGGGTGGAAACATTTCGACACGTTTCCTTACGCCTGTTGTCCTGTTCACCTAGCAGCAAATAGGTACCTGGGTGTTAGTCGACTGGTGTGGGTCGCATCCTGGGGGACAAGATTAAGGACCCCAATGGAAATAAGTTAGACAGTCCTCGATGACGCACTGACTTTCTTGGGTTATCCTGGGTGGCTAACCCTCCGGGGATTAAAAATCCGAACGAAATCTTATCTTATCTTATCTCTGTTTATGTCGCGGGACATCGGTTACAAGTTCGAAAGGTGATCCCTACACCGCAACAGTAGAAATTGCTGGCGTTTTGGTCACCCAGCAAAATATTGCAGATCTATAGCCGAATGCCCAGTCTGTGGTGCCAACGACCATTCTAATGCATCTTGCAGTCAACCTCCATCTTGCATTAATTGTAATGAGGCTCACCCTTTATACTCTCGCCGTTGCCAGGTCTACTTGAATGAGCGTGAAATCCGTTGCCTCAGAGGCAGAAGGTCTCCCTTATGCTATGGCAGTTACTCATCTCCGCCTCCAAGGGAGACTACCCCGTGTTTCTTATTCTCGTGTTTCAAAACGTCCCCCCACTTCTGGGATCCCATCTTCTGCAGCCTCCTCTGTTGTTGCCCCTCCCATAGCCACTCCGGCATCTAATCCTTTTGCTGTCCTTGGCTCTGACGTCCCGACTACAACTCGGTCTGTTCTCACATCTTCACATCCTTCCTCACAAGCCCCAGTATCGACAAGACCCCGTATGACGCCTTACACCAATCGCCCCTCTACTTCTCAGAAGTCCAAAAAATCCCCAGTGCTCAAATCTTTGCCCCTTCCTTCCCTTCTTCCACCTCCGTGCTTTACCTTTCCAGTCTCTGTGTCTAGTTCTTCCCCTCTCTCTGGCTCTATTACAAGTGTGGAGGTTCACCCTCCTCCTCGTACTATACCTTCCACCCCCGTCCCCTCCCAAGTTTCCCCCTCTTCTGCCACCTCCCAGGTTTCTGCCTCTTCTGTCCCCTCCCACACTTCTTCTACAGTTCCCTACACTCTTTCGTCCCCCTCTACTTTGGTACAGTCCACTACTGTCCCAATCTTTACTCACCCTCCTCCTTCTACCTCCAATATTGTCTCCCATACATCTTTGAATTCAGAAACACTTGAAGCCATTTCAGAATATATTGCAGAGACTAAACCTTCAATGGACACTGATCCACCTCTTACTCCCTCTCTTCCCTCTCCTCCATTTCCACAACTCCATTCTTCGCAACGCTCCATTCCTTCACTACTTGAACGTCTTCCAATGCCACCACACGTTGACTTTTCTAACCCCTCTAGTCTGTAGGTGCCCTTCCCTACGGATTCCTGGTATTTTCTTTATTGCCAATCATGGCCTATTTACAGTGGA